AAAAACAGGAAGTTAGCACGCATGCTGAAATGATCAGAATACTGAGGCGGACTCAAACAAATGACCACGAGGGTTCGGAACGACCACGAGGGTTCAGAACGATCACGAGGGTTCAGAACGATCACGAGGGTTCAGAACGACCACGAGGGTTCAGAACGACGACGAGGGTTCAGTCTACTGAACGACCACGAGGGTTCAGAACGACCACGAGGGTTCAGAACGATCACAAGGGTTCAGAACGATCACAAGGGTTCAGAACGACCACGAGGGTTCAGAACGACCACGAGGGTTCAGTCTACTGAACGACCACGAGGGTTCAGAACGACCACAAGGGTTCAGAACGATCACGAGGGTTCAGTCTATTGAACGACCACGAGGGTTCAGAACGATCACGAGGGTTCAGAATGACCACGAGGGTTCAGTCTACTGAACGACCACGAGGGTTCAGAACGATCACGAGGGTTCAGAACGACCACGAGGGTTCAGAACGACCACGAGGGTTCAGTCTACTGAACGACCACGAGGGTTCAGTCTACTGAACGACCACGAGGGTTCAGTCTACTGAACGACCACAAGGGTTCAGAACGACCACGAGGGTTCAGTCTACTGAACGACCACGAGGGTTCAGAACGATCACGAGGGTTCAGTCTACGGAACGACAACGAGGGTTCAGAACGACCACGAGGGTTCAGAACGACCACGAGGGTTCAGAACGACCACGAGGGTTCAGAACGACCACGAGGGTTCAGTCTACGGAACGACAACGAGGGTTCAGAACGACCACGAGGGTTCAGAACGACCACGACGGTTCAGAAGACCACGAGGGTTCAGTCTACTGAACGACCACGAGGGTTCAGAACGATCACGAGGGTTCAGTCTACGGAACGACAACGAGGGTTCAGTCTACGGAACGACAACGAGGGTTCAGAACGACCACGAGGGTTCAGAACGACCACGAGGGTTCAGAACGATCACGAGGGTTCAGAACGACAACGAGGGTTCAGAACGACCACGAGGGTTCAGAACGACCACGAGGGTTCAGAACGATCACGAGGGTTCAGAACGATCACGAGGGTTCAGAACGACCACGAGGGTTCAGAACGATCACGAGGGTTCAGTCTACTGAACGACCACGAGGGTTCAGTCTACTGAACGATCACGAGGGTTCAGAACGACCACGAGGGTTCAGAACGATCACGAGGGTTCAGAACGACCACGAGGGTTCAGAACGATCACGAGGGTTCAGAACGACCACGAGGGTTCAGTCTACTGAAAGACCACGAGGGTTCAGTCTACTGAAAGACCACGAGGGTTCAGAACGACCACGAGGGTTCAGAACGATCACGAGGGTTCAGTCTACTGAACGATCGCGAGAGTTCAGAACGACCACGAGGGTTCAGTCTACTGAACGATCGCGAGAGTTCAGAACGACCACGAGGGTTCAGTCTACTGAACGACCGCGTTTTGGAAAGGGCCGTTATTGCGCTTTGCATTGTGGGAAACAGGACATCAGGGAGACTAGTCTGATGCAGAATGACATGCGGGTCTCATACTGCATTTTGGACCAATCAGGACGGACTACTGGAATAGAAGAAGGTTTAGTAAACAGACAGGATCAAAGAGTTCATCGTTAAGAGATTTAAATGTTTCAAACGTTATAAAATAACTCTTCTCCGTTTCCTTTTGGAGGTTAAATCAGAAGTGTGAACATTTGAATAAACAAAGAGACGTCTATAGAGAGAAGTTGAGACTTTATTGTTTGAATCAAAGGAGTCTCCTGGAGTCAGAGGAACATGGTTCAGTACTCGTGTGAATGTAAACTGCAGTTAAGTGGAAATGTTTGAAGAATCTGTTTGTGTCCCAAACCACACGTGATCCCTGCGTTCATGCTAACATGGAAAACAAAAAACTGATGAGGTCAGCAGGTCCGTCAAGTAAGACCAATCAGACGAGAGCTCACCACCTAAGACCAGGAAGTGGACAGAAGAGCTCAGAGATAAATAAACTAGTTGGAGACATGTGTGTGAAGGTCAGAGGTCACTGAGGGTGAACCCTGAGCAGACACACAGCTGGAACATGTGACAACAGGTTAGTGGGGGAGCTCATGGGCAACCAGTTTGTAGTGGGAACCACAGGACGGGCAGCGGTGGGCCTCGCCCTCATGGAGCCAGAACCAGACCACAGCCGTGTTGTCTTCCTCGCCTGCAGACAGGAAGTGAGAAAGTGAGTCACAACACGAGCACACGGTAAACATGAATCAGTGTTTGTTAAAACAAACAGAATCAACTTACAGACACATCCCACAATCCTCTTGTTCGTGATGGAGGGGACGAGGTGGGGGTCCACCTTGGAGCCGGCGTACTCCTTTGGCTTCATCATGCTGTAGGGATCCTGAACGGGGGGGGGTCAGTCAGGTTAGGGACACGACCTGAATCATCTCAAAATGTGAACTGTGGGAAACTGCTCAAGTTATATTTGACATAAGGTGAAGTAGGGCTGTAACGCGTTCAAAGCGAACAGACGTTCCTGGTACACACTAATCTTTGCGAGCCAGCTTGGAGAGTTGCAGGTTGGTCACTATGCAAGTAGCTCTCAGAGTCTGAGAAAACATAATGCAGTCATCAAGTATGACAATATTGTCAAATATCTTCTATCATAAAATATGAAACATTATCAACATATGAACCTGATGTTTTGCTCCTGCTGGTTTTCATTAAAGTCTTTATTTGTGATTTTTCACACTTAAATAAAATCAAGTATCTCCTCTGAAAATAACTCTGTGAGTCATGACTGTCTACAATGGGTGTAACACCCGAGTCCCACTGTCTGTCATGTTTTCAGAGTTTTCAGAGTCCTATCTTCACTTTGTTTACATCGCCGGGACGGCCGGCTGACTCCTCCCCTCGTGTATAAAAGTTGTTTAATTGAGGGACTAGAGATGTAGATGTGTTCATGTGTAGATGTGTTCATGTGTAGATGTGTTCATGTGTAGATGTGTTCATGTGTTCATGTGTTCATGTGTAGATGTGTTCATGTGTAGATGTGTAGATGTGTTCATGTGTAGATGTGTTCATGTGTTCATGTGTCCATGTGTAGATGTGTTCATGTGTACATGTGTTCATGTGTTCATGTGTTCATGTGTAGATGTGTTCATGTGTTCATGTGTTCATGTGTTCATGTGTAGATGTGTAGATGTGTTCATGTGTAGATGTGTAGATGTGTTCATGTGTTCATGTGTAGATGTGTTCATGTGTTCATGTGTAGATGTGTTCATGTGTAGATGTGTTCATGTGTTCATGTGTAGATGTGTAAATGTGTTCATGTGTCCATGTGTTCATGTGTTCATGTGTAGATGTGTTCAAATGTTCATGTGTAGATGTGTTCATGTGTTCATGTGTAGATGTGTTCATGTGTTCATGTGTAGATGTGTTCATGTGTTCATGTGTTCATGTGTTCATGTGTAGATGTGTAGATGTGTTCATGTGTTCATGTGTAGATGTGTTCATGTGTTCATGTGTAGATGTGTTCATGTGTTCATGTGTAGATGTGTTCATATGTTCATGTGTTCATGTGTAGATGTGTTCATGTGTAGATGTGTTCATGTGTTCATGTGTAGATGTGTTCAATGTTCATGTGTTCATGTGTTCATATGTAGATGTGTTCATGTGTTCATGTGTTCACGTGTAGATGTGTTCATGTGTAGATGTGTTCATGTGTTCATGTGTAGATGTGTTCATGTGTAGATGTGTTCATGTGTTCATGTGTTCATGTGTAGATGTGTTCATGTGTAGATGTGTTCATGTGTTCATGTGTAGATGTGTTCATGTGTAGATGTGTTCATGTGTTCATGTGTTCACGTGTAGATGTGTTCATGTGTAGATGTGTTCATGTGTAGATGTGTTCATGTGTTCATGTGTAGATGTGTTCATGTGTTCATGTGTTCACGTGTAGATGTGTTCATGTGTAGATGTGTTCATGTGTTCATGTGTAGATGTGTTCATGTGTAGAGGTGTTCATGTGTTCACGTGTAGATGTGTTCATGTGTAGATGTGTTCATGTGTAGATGTGTTCATGTGTTCATGTGTAGATGTGTTCACGTGTAGATGTGTTCATGTGTTCATGTGTAGATGTGTTCATGTGTAGATGTGTTCATGTGTTCATGTGTAGATGTGTTCACGTGTAGATGTGTTCATGTGTTCATGTGTAGATGTGTTCACGTGTTCATGTGTTCACGTGTAGATTTGTTCACGTGTAGATGTGTTCATGTGTAGATGTGTTCATGTGTAGATGTGTTCATGTGTTCATGTGTAGATGTGTTCATGTGTAGATGTGTTCATGTGTTCATGTGTAGATGTGTTCACGTGTAGATGTGTTCACGTGTAGATGTGTTCATGTGTTCATGTGTAGATGTGTTCATGTGTAGATGTGTTCATGTGTTCATGTGTAGATGTGTTCATGTGTAGATGTGTTCATGTGTTCATGTGTAGATGTGTTCACGTGTAGATGTGTTCATGTGTAGATGTGTTCATGTGTTCATGTGTAGATGTGTTCATGTGTAGATGTGTTCATGTGTTCATGTGTAGATGTGTTCATGTGTAGATGTGTTCATGTGTTCATGTGTAGATGTGTTCACGTGTAGATGTGTTCATGTGTAGATGTGTTCATGTGTTCATGTGTAGATGTGTTCATGTGTTCATGTGTTCACGTGTAGATGTGTTCATGTGTTCATGTGTTCATGTGTAGATGTGTAGATGTGTTCATGTGTAGATGTGTAGATGTGTTCATGTGTTCATGTGTAGATGTGTTCATGTGTTCATGTGTAGATGTGTTCATGTGTAGATGTGTTCATGTGTTCATGTGTTCATGTGTAGATGTGTAAATGTGTTCATGTGTCCATGTGTTCATGTGTTCATGTGTAGATGTGTTCAAATGTTCATGTGTAGATGTGTTCATGTGTTCATGTGTAGATGTGTTCATGTGTTCATGTGTAGATGTGTTCATGTGTTCATGTGTTCATGTGTAGATGTGTAGATGTGTTCATGTGTTCATGTGTAGATGTGTTCATGTGTTCATGTGTAGATGTGTTCATGTGTTCATGTGTAGATGTGTTCATATGTTCATGTGTTCATGTGTAGATGTGTTCATGTGTAGATGTGTTCATGTGTAGATGTGTTCAATGTTCATGTGTTCATGTGTTCATATGTAGATGTGTTCATGTGTTCATGTGTTCACGTGTAGATGTGTTCATGTGTAGATGTGTTCATGTGTTCATGTGTAGATGTGTTCATGTGTAGATGTGTTCATGTGTTCATGTGTTCATGTGTAGATGTGTTCATGTGTAGATGTGTTCATGTGTTCATGTGTAGATGTGTTCATGTGTAGATGTGTTCATGTGTTCACGTGTAGATGTGTTCATGTGTAGATGTGTTCATGTGTTCATGTGTAGATGTGTTCATGTGTAGATGTGTTCATGTGTTCATGTGTAGATGTGTTCATGTGTTCATGTGTTCACGTGTAGATGTGTTCATGTGTAGATGTGTTCATGTGTTCATGTGTAGATGTGTTCATGTGTAGATGTGTTCATGTGTTCACGTGTAGATGTGTTCATGTGTAGATGTGTTCATGTGTAGATGTGTTCATGTGTTCATGTGTAGATGTGTTCACGTGTAGATGTGTTCATGTGTTCACGTGTAGATGTGTTCATGTGTAGATGTGTTCATGTGTAGATGTGTTCATGTGTTCATGTGTAGATGTGTTCACGTGTAGATGTGTTCAAATGTTCATGTGTAGATGTGTTCATGTGTTCATGTGTAGATGTGTTCATGTGTTCATGTGTAGATGTGTTCATGTGTTCATGTGTTCATGTGTAGATGTGTAGATGTGTTCATGTGTTCATGTGTAGATGTGTTCATGTGTTCATGTGTAGATGTGTTCATGTGTTCATGTGTAGATGTGTTCATATGTTCATGTGTTCATGTGTAGATGTGTTCATGTGTAGATGTGTTCATGTGTTCATGTGTAGATGTGTTCAATGTTCATGTGTTCATGTGTTCATATGTAGATGTGTTCATGTGTTCATGTGTTCACGTGTAGATGTGTTCATGTGTAGATGTGTTCATGTGTTCATGTGTAGATGTGTTCATGTGTAGATGTGTTCATGTGTTCATGTGTTCATGTGTAGATGTGTTCATGTGTAGATGTGTTCATGTGTTCATGTGTAGATGTGTTCATGTGTAGATGTGTTCATGTGTTCATGTGTTCACGTGTAGATGTGTTCATGTGTAGATGTGTTCATGTGTTCATGTGTAGATGTGTTCATGTGTAGATGTGTTCATGTGTTCATGTGTAGATGTGTTCATGTGTTCATGTGTTCACGTGTAGATGTGTTCATGTGTAGATGTGTTCATGTGTTCATGTGTAGATGTGTTCATGTGTAGATGTGTTCATGTGTTCACGTGTAGATGTGTTCATGTGTAGATGTGTTCATGTGTTCATGTGTAGATGTGTTCACGTGTAGATGTGTTCATGTGTTCATGTGTTCATGTGTTCATGTGTAGATGTGTTCATGTGTTCATGTGTAGATGTGTTCATGTGTAGATGTGTTCACGTGTAGATGTGTTCACGTGTAGATGTGTTCATGTGTTCACGTGTAGATGTGTTCATGTGTAGATGTGTTCACGTGTAGATGTGTTCATGTGTAGATGTGTTCATGTGTTCATGTGTAGATGTGTTCATGTGTTCATGTGTTCACGTGTAGATGTGTTCATGTGTTCATGTGTTCATGTGTAGATGTGTTCATGTGTTCATGTGTCCATGTGTTCATGTGTCCATGTGTTCATGTGTCCATGTGTTCATGTGTTCATGTGTCCATGTCTTCATGTGTTCATGTGTCCATGTGTTCATGTGTCCATGTGTTCATGTGTCCATGTCTTCATGTGTCCATGTCTTCATGTGTTCATGTGTTCACGTGTAGATGTGTTCATGTGTAGATGTGTCCATGTGTTCATGTGTTCATGTGTTCATGTGTCCATGTGTTCATGTGTCCATGTGTTCATGTGTCCATGTGTTCATGTGTTCATGTGTCCATGTCTTCATGTGTTCATGTGTCCATGTGTTCATGTGTCCATGTGTTCATGTGTCCATGTCTTCATGTGTCCATGTCTTCATGTGTTCATGTGTTCATGTGTTCATGTGTCCATGTGTTCATGTGTCCATGTGTTCATGTGTTCATACCGATCCCTCCTTCATGGCCTTCATGATGATCTTCTCCAGTCCGGTCGCCTGCTCCTCGTCAGTGGGAATCCCTGAGGACAGAATGAGGTCACATGTTTAACTCGAGCATCAGGTCTGCAGATGCTCTGATCCGTAACGAGGTCTATCTGTGACCTGATCCTCAGATCTGACCTGATCCTCAGATCTGACCTGATCCTCAGATCTGACCCGATCCTCAGATCTGTCCCGATCCTCAGATCTGTCCCGATCCTCAGATCTGTCCCGATCCTCAGATCTGACCCGATCCTCAGATCTGTCCCGATCCTCAGATCTGTCCCGATCCTCAGATCTGTCCCGATCCTCAGATCTGACCCGATCCTCAGATCTGACCCGATCCTCAGATCTGACCCGATCCTCAGATCTGTCCCGTCAGAGGCGACCACACGCCGCGGCGTTTCAATGATCTGTGCTGATCATTAAGATGTTCAGAGCCGCTGTAATAACTCTTTAAAATCATCAATGAAAACTTATAGAAAATTCAGCGCCTTTAAAAGCCGTCCTGTCAGAAACACAGACGCTACGTGTTGATTTACATCGATGTTCATTATTTAGGTATAATTATTGATTTTATGTTTATTTATCTAATTAAAACCCGTTTCCACCAAGCGGTGCTCTCGTTTCCAAAGACAACCGTACCTTCCACAGCGCCGTGACATCGTGGAGACCGCCAATAAATCCAACAAAGAAGAAGAATGCGACACAAAGATCCATGATTCCTACAAAAGGTCTGCATCTCCGAGGTCGTCCATGGGGGCGGAGCTACACGCTGACAATAGTAATAATAAAACACCACCTTGAGATCAGTCTCTCCAAATCCACAAAATATGTTTAAACAATTATCGTTTTGTGTTTGTCGCTCACTACGGGAAGATCGTGTCAATCGGTACGCTCGGCGCCCCAACAGAAGGTAGAAGGAAGAAGTAGGACGGTACGGATCGGTTATTTTGGTACCACTGAGAACTTCTGGCGGTGAAACGCAAATTAATATTTCCTGAACTGAACTGATCATCGTTGATTGGGGTTAATAGTCAGGTGATGAGAGGTCACAGGTGAACAGGAAGCTGGTAGCAAACTGTAAACAAACACAAATATAATCATCACAGTGATTCTTTATCTGCTTCATCTTTTGACAGAAACGTCACTTAAACTTTTCTTACACCTGCACAGGTGACTACAGGATGCAGTTCTACATCAGGACATTAAACAGTCACAACATGTTTTAAATGTTTTAAATGTTTATAATGTTTTAAATGTTTTAAATGTATTAAATGTTTTAAATGTTTTAAATGTATTAAATGTTTTAAATGTTTTAAATGTTTTAAATGTTTTAAATGTATTAAATGTTTTAAATGTATTAAATGTTTTAAATGTTTTAAATGTATTAAATGTTTTAAATGTTTTAAATGTTTTTATTCACTTAAATAAAAATGTATTTTTCTAAGAGATAACTTTTCATAAAGTTAAATGTTACTAGTTTTATCAGTAACTAAAACCTCATTAAGTATTATTATTTATAAAATATTATTTATAAAATAGGATAATTTAAACTTTAAAGTCTCAGAGCTAACAGTTAGCTTCTTTACTAAAATGAGACTCAAGTTAAAAACACAATTAAACATTAAACACAAACTGAAGAACATCTGTTCATTATTCACAAACTTCTGACTTTTTAATAAATGTTTGAAATTAAAGTTTGACCTCTCTCTGCTAACGATGCTAACGATGCTAACGATGCTAACGATGCTAACGTGTTGAGGACTTCCGCCGGAACTCTCCGTTTATTAAAATCATTTTTCTCTCCTCTGTCAGAATCTAAAGGTGAGTGTTGGTTCCGTCCTCACCTCCAGCAGCCATCCCGCGGGTCAGAGCCGGCAGCGGGGCGGCCCGGCAGCTTGTAGCGGCTCTCACAGCCGAGCGGAGCAGTAACCTTGCAGCCATTTCTTCTTCGCTGTCACAGAAATATGGACGCAGGCTGATGACGTGAGACGTGATGACGTGTGATGCTTTATTAGCGCGTCACTGGTTTATATGTTTTTTTTTACCTCAGAAAATCTGTTTCAGTTTCAGATATTTGAGGATTTTTCTCATAAAATAATAAAATCTGGAATTATTTATTTTACATGTTTATAAAGCGTTGGGCCTCGTGTACCCACCAGCACGCTCCCACCAGCACGCTCCCACCAGCACGCTCCCACCAGCACGCTCCCACCAGCACGCTCCCACCAGCACGCTCCCACCTGCACGCTCCCACCAGCACGCTCCCACCAGCACGCTCCCACCAGCACGCTCCCACCTGCACGCTCCCACCTGCACGCTCCCACCAGCACGCTCCCACCTGCACGCTCCCACCTGCACGCTCCCACCAGCACGCTCCCACCTGCACGCTCCCACCAGCACGCTCCCACCTGCACGCTCCCACCTGCACGCTCCCACCAGCACGCTCCCACCTGCACGCTCCCACCTGCACGCTCCCACCAGCACGCTCCCACCTGCACGCTCCCACCAGCACGCTCCCACCAGCACGCTCCACCTGCACGCTCCACCAGCACGCTCCCACCTGCACGCTCCCACCAGCACGCTCCCACCTGCACGCTCCCACCTGCACGCTCCCACCAGCACGCTCCCACCAGCACGCTCCCACCTGCACGCTCCCACCAGCACGCTCCCACCTGCACGCTCCCACCAGCACGCTCCCACCTGCACGCTCCCACCTGCACGCTCCCACCAGCACGCTCCCACCTGACATGAAGCTGACATCCATCATGGACAACCCCTCTCACCCCCTGCATGACACTGTGGGGCCCTGAGCAGCTCCTTCAGCAGCAGACTCAGACACCCACCCTGCAAGACAGAGCGCTACTGCAGGTCGTTCATCCCATCTGCAGTCAGACTGTTTAATCGGACTGTTTAATCGGACTGTTCAATCGGACTGTTCAATCGGACTGTTCCATCGGACTGTTTAATCGGACTGTTCAATCGGACTGTTCAATCGGACTGTTCAATCGGACTGTTCAATCGGACTGTTCCATCGGACTGTTCAATCGGACTGTTCAATCGGACTGTTCAATCGGACTGTTCCATCGGACTGTTCAATCGGACTGTTCCATCGGACTGTTTAATCGGACTGTTTCATCGGACTGTTCAATCGGACTGTTCCATCGGACTGTTCAATCGGACTGTTTAATCGGACTGTTTCATCGGACTGTTCAATCGGACTGTTCAATCGGACTGTTCAATCGGACTGTTTCATCGGACTGTTCCATCGGACTGTTCAATCGGACTGTTTAATCAGAATGTTTCATTGGACTGTTCAATCGGACTGTTTAATCAGAATGTTTCATCGGACTGTTCAATCGGACTGTTCAATCGGACTGTTTAATCAGAATGTTTCATCGGACTGTTCAATCGGACTGTTCAATCGGACTGTTTAATCAGAATGTTTCATTGGACTGTTCAATCGGACTGTTCAATCGGACTGTTTCATCGGACTGTTCAATCGGACTGTTCAATCGGACTGTTCAATCGGACTGTTCCATCGGACTGTTCAATCGGACTGTTTCATCGGACTGTTCAATCGGACTGTTCAATCGGACTGTTCAATCGGACTGTTTAATCAGACTGTTCAATCGGACTGTTCAATCGGACTGTTTCATCGGACTGTTCAATCGGACTGTTCAATCGGACTGTTTCATCGGACTGTTCAATCGGACTGTTCAATCGGACTGTTTAATCGGACTGTTCAATCGGACTGTTCAATCGGACTGTTTCATCGGACTGTTCAATCGGACTGTTCAATCGGACTGTTTCATCGGACTGTTCAATCGGACTGTTCAATCGGACTGTTCAATCGGACTGTTCCATCGGACTGTTCAATCGGACTGTTCAATCGGACTGTTCAATCGGACTGTTCCATCGGACTGTTCAATCGGACTGTTCAATCGGACTGTTCAATCGGACTGTTCAATCGGACTGTTCAATCGGACTGTTCCATCGGACTGTTCAATCGGACTGTTTAATCGGACTGTTTCATCGGACTGTTCAATCGGACTGTTCAATCGGACTGTTTAATCGGACTGTTCAATCGGACTGTTCAATCGGACTGTTCCATCGGACTGTTCAATCGGACTGTTTAATCAGAATGTTTCATTGGACTGTTCAATCGGACTGTTTAATCAGAATGTTTCATCGGACTGTTCAATCGGACTGTTCAATCGGACTGTTTAATCAGAATGTTTCATCGGACTGTTCAATCGGACTGTTCAATCGGACTGTTTAATCAGAATGTTTCATTGGACTGTTCAATCGGACTGTTCAATCGGACTGTTCAATCGGACTGTTTCATCGGACTGTTCAATCGGACTGTTCAATCGGACTGTTCCATCGGACTGTTCAATCGGACTGTTTAATCGGACTGTTTCATCGGACTGTTCAATCGGACTGTTCAATCGGACTGTTCAATCGGACTGTTCCATCGGACTGTTCAATCGGACTGTTCCATCGGACTGTTCAATCGGACTGTTTAATCGGACTGTTTCATCGGACTGTTCAATCGGACTGTTCAATCGGACTGTTTCATCGGACTGTTCAATCAGACTGTTCAATCGGGCTGTTTAATCAGACTGTTTAATCAGACTGTTTAACAGCATCACCACCTCCTGCTACACACTGTGTGTGTTTTTAAGAACAATAACTTTTTCCCGTGTAGTTACTGTGTCATTTTACATTATTGTATTTATTTTTTTATTTAAATGATGTAAATATGTTTGATTTGATTTTAACTTCTATTTTTATTTTTAATAATTATTTTCCCGTCCCGTTTTTCTGGAGCTGCTGTAATGCACAAATTTCCCCCACGGGGGATCAATAAAGTTTATCTTTGTCTTTACCTGCACGCTCCCACCAGCACGCTCCCACCTGCACGCTCCCACCAGCACGCTCCCACCTGCACGCTCCCACCAGCACGCTCCCACCTGCACGCTCCCACCAGCACGCTCCCACCTGCACGCTCCCACCTGCACGCTCCCACCAGCACGCTCCCACCAGCACGCTCCCACCTGCACGCTCCCACCTGCACGCTCCCACCTGCACGCTCCCACCAGCACGCTCCCACCTGCACGCTCCCACCAGCACGCTCCCACCAGCACGCTCCCACCTGCTCTCTCAGGCCTGCAGATGTAAAGCTTCATTTTCATGTTACCCCATCGGGGCCCTTCTTGGGGAGTCAGCCCCCCCCCCCCACCTGTGTGGTCAGCTGGAGGAGTCCTCAGTTTGATTAGAAGGTACCCACTGATCTTACATCAGAGTCTAACCCTCATGAAACACACTGCGCTGGTGTCTGATGGTTTTTGTGTTTGATAAAATGAGGTCAGAGAGCTGCAGGTTCTCTGAAGGGTTCCTGACTGTGAGTGACCCACTTCACATCGCAGTCTGTTCATGAACATAAACATTCCTTCCTGTCCACAGCAGAGACTACAGGTCGTGTCAGGTGAGGTCCCGGCGTGCCCCGTGTCTCCGAGACGACGCTTCAGGTTGATGATGATGAGCCGACAGGTGAGAGCTGCAGGCTGCAGGACCTGATGATGTTAGAGGTTCAGCACTCTACAAAGACCCTGATGTCTCCCCCCGTCAATAACTCACATCTCTTTAAAAACAGGTCAGCATGTTAAAATGTTCAACAGGAATTTAGAATTTGTTACTGTAAATATTATTATGTATTTTATCTTATTCTGGTTGTATTGCACCGCGGGACAGAGACAAACGAAATTTCGATTCCACTGCATGTCTGGCATATTTTGAAATTGACAATGAAGTTGACTTTGAACTTTTGAGGAAACAAAGAGACGTCTATAGAGAGAAGTTGAGACTTTATTGTTTGAATCAAAGGAGTCTCCTGGAGTCAGAGGAACATGGTTCAGTACTCGTGTGAATGTAAACTGCAGTTAAGTGGAAATGTTTGAAGAATCTGTTTGTGTCCCAAACCACACGTGATCCCTGCGTTCATGCTAACATGGAAAACAAAAAACTGATGAGGTCAGCGGGTCTGTCAAGTAAAGACCAATCAGACGAGAGCTCACCACCTAAGACCAGGAAGTGGACAGAAGAGCTCAGAGATAAATAAACTAGTTGGAGACATGTGTGTGAAGGTCAGAGGTCAGAGGTCACTGAGGGTGAACCCTGAGCAGACACACAGCTGGAACATGTGACAACAGGTTAGTGGGGGAGCTCATGGGCAACCAGTTTGTAGTGGGAACCACAGGACGGGCAGCGGTGGGCCTCGCCCTCATGGAGCCAGAACCAGACCACAGCCGTGTTGTCTTCCTCGCCTGCAGACAGGAAGTGAGAAAGTGAGTCACAACACGAGCACACGGTAAACATGAATCAGTGTTTGTTAAAACAAACAGAATCAACTTACAGACACATCCCACAATCCTCTTGTTCGTGATGGAGGGGACGAGGTGGGGGTCCACCTTGGAGCCGGCGTACTCCTTTGGCTTCATCATGCTGTAGGGATCCTGAACGGGGGGGGGTCAGTCAGGTTAGGGACACGACCTGAATCATCTCAAAATGTGAACTGTGGGAAACTGCTCAAGTTATATTTGACATAAGGTGAAGTAGGGCTGTAACGCGTTCAAAGCGAACAGACGTTCCTGGTACACACTAATCTTTGCGAGCCAGCTTGGAGAGTTGCAGGTTGGTCACTATGCAAGTAGCTCTCAGAGTCTGAGAAAACATAATGCAGTCATCAAGTATGACAATATTGTCAAATATCTTCTATCATAAAATATGAAACATTATCAACATATGAACCTGATGTTTTGCTCCTGCTGGTTTTCATTAAAGTCTTTATTTGTGATTTTTCACACTTAAATAAAATCAAGTATCTCCTCTGAAAATAACTCTGCGAGTCATGACTGTCTACAATGGGTGTAACACCCGAGTCCCACTGTCTGTGATGTTTTCAGAGTTTTCAGAGTCCTATCTTCACTTTGTTTACATCGCCGGGACGGCCGGCTGACTCCTCCCCTCGTGTATAAAAGTTGTGTTCATGTGTTCATGTGTCCATGTGTAGATGTGTCCATGTGTTCATGTGTTCATGTGTCCATGTGTAGATGTGTCCATGTGTTCATGTGTTCATGTGTCCATGTGTTCATGTGTCCATGTGTCCATGTGTAGATGTGTCCATGTGTCCATGTGTCCATGTGTCCATGTGTAGATGTGTCCATGTGTTCATGTGTTCATGTGTCCATGTGTAGATGTGTCCATGTGTCCATGTGTCCATGTGTAGATGTGTCCATGTGTAGATGTGTCCATGTGTTCATGTGTTCATGTGTCCATGTGTAGATGTGTCCATGTGTCCATGTGTCCATGTGTCCATGTGTAGATGTGTCCATGTGTAGATGTGTTCATGTGTAGATGTGTCCATGTGTTCATGTGTTCATGTGTCCATGTGTAGATGTGTCCATGTGTCCATGTGTCCATGTGTCCATGTGTCCATGTGTAGATGTGTCCATGTGTCCATGTGTAGATGTGTCCATGTGTCCATGTGTCCATGTGTAGATGTGTCCATGTGTAGATGTGTCCATGTGTCCATGTGTCCATGTGTAGATGTGTCCATGTGTTCATGTGTAGATGTGTTCATGTGTAGATGTGTCCATGTGTAGATGTGTCCATGTGTAGATGTGTCCATGTGTTCATGTGTCCATGTGTAGATGTGTCCATGTGTCCATG